ACACTCCTCATCATGCATCGACTTACACCGCTGATCACAAACCATGGTTATAAAAAGCCTAGGTTAGTTTAGTTTTTTCCTTTGTTTCTTACATTCAAAATAAACAGTGTTTTAATTGGCATCTCCCTTTTTGTCATGGCTGTGGAGCCTGGTTTGTGACAGTATATCAGAGGGTCAGCTCAGATCGTGCCGTTTGGAGGCAGAGGTACAGAGGAAAGGGTGAGATAAACTGGATAAAGGATGCTGAAAATGGCCCTACCAGGCAGGAGGAAAAGATAAAGACCACAAAGAAGACTCATGGACAGAAGACATGAAGAGTACTGGTGTCACATAAGAGGATGTAAGGGATAGGCAAGTTGCTGTGACAACAGAAATGGGAACGATAGAAAGAAGAACATGTGACTTTACTGTTTATGACATTATCTTAAGCAGTTTGACCTTTTAAAGAAATCTGTTTGTTCTCCTGTTACTTTATTGGATTCATTCTCATCTATAGCAGCTCCACTTTGTGGGCTTGTTCTCATTTTAACTGTTTCTTTTAAACCAACGTACTCTTTTTCCCTGATTCCAGATTTATTGCTTTAAGTGACATTTTCATCAGCTAATATTTAACCTTGTTTTTTAACCAGTCCTTTAAAATGAAAGCATTGGCTTCAAGTAACTTGAGCTGCTCTTCACATCTACCCCCTGAGGTAGTGAGTGGGCATCACTGACTTTGCAAGCAATATGTTGAGCAATCACACATCTAAATGTTACCAAACACACTGAGAGAGCAAATGATGTGTTGTTGGGCTAATTTTAAACAGGTTTCTCCTCAGCCTGCGAGCGAGGATTTTATGATTATTATCCATCCAAACTGGTTTAAAGAGAGACTCAAGTACAACAAACTTTAATAATTATAATTATGAAAATTTTGTCAGGTTGTGATTTATTTATTTAATTAATTGGGCAGCTGTTACAGGAAAACCTGCACCTAATATGGTGACACCTTTTAGTCAGAATCAGCTTACAGAGGTTTAATTAGCTCGATGATTCGTAATGAGCAGAAAAAATTGTTCATGGTCATTATTCTGAATCTATCCTGCAGTATGAAGGCGATGGCTAGGATTATATAACTCTACTTACTGTACAAAAAAAAGGCGACAAGGTCTCAACTGACCATCGTGTCCTAAAATGACTGAAGCTGACTGTCAAATTCCCAATCTGCCCTGGTCTGTTTTTAAGACACTAAGCCCTCTATTCATGAATGGAGGGACTCAGCTCATCTGTCAATCCTATATTTTCTGCTCCTGTGCCCAATATCTGTAATGGCTTCATCTGCCCTCCACTCACCCTTGCACTTCTAAATTAATCAGGAGATTAATGAATGAGGAGTGAATGAATAATTAAAGCAGGCCCAATGCTGTGGCCAAATAAATACAGGCTAAAGATACTGTTTGAAGACAGTTACTTAACTTTGACAACTTGGGGCCGGCCGCAAAATTAATCCAAAAAAAACTAAAAAAAACGGGTTAAAAAACAAAAAGAAAAGAAAAAAAAAAAAAAACAAAAAAAAATCCCATATTTGCTAACGATGCAGAATTTATGAATGTGCAAATATTTATAGCTTTAACGTTTCTTCTGCACAGGTGCTGGAAAATGTTCTGTGTAAATGTTGGTAATCATGGCCCTCTAGTGGTAACAGTGAGAAAGTCCTCAAAGACAGAAATCATGAGTGAGAAATAATTCAGGTTAAGAAAAGTGAGATTTGAGAAGTTGAGGGATCCACTGTAGACAACCAGACCTAAAAGAGGCAGAGTGACTGTATCATGAATCGTTTTATTTCTCAAATGTACTGTCACAGTTTACAACACAACTATACATTTTAATACACAGCAAAATAAATTCATTTCATACAAAATTAAATCTGAGAAATAATAATAATAATAGTCATGTGAAGCTAGACTGTATTCCAGTCTGTTTTTCCACCAACGTTCACATATTACCGAGTCAGTAACACAGTAAGGACTCGTACAGCCCACGAAACACAACAAAGCCATGTGATCCCTTCATCAGGTTTGCCTGCTTCACCGTGGCTTTAATTTACTGTTTTCAAAACTCATAAATGACGATGACGAATCCTGCTACCATGTAAGTTTTCAAAGTAAAATGTAACAAGAAGAGAAAATAAAACCATTTAGTCTCCTTTCAGATGTTTGTGTTGAAGTAAATGAGGAGCAAGTACACAGACACATCCGCTCAAACAGCATACGCATTAAACAAGTTGATATTCTTGAACTCTGTTTTTAATTTCGCCAAAACGGTATTTCAGTTTCTCCTCAGAAAGAGCCGGGAAACCAAGAAGACAATTACACAATGACTCAAAAATGTCTACAGAGCTAAACGGGAAGATGAAGCCACCGTTGGTTACCGAGCTGATTCACAAAGAAATATTTAAACAACCGATCAGATTAAAGTCAGTTAACGTCACACGATCAATACCACCAGGCCAGCCTGCCTGAAATGAAAGTTACACCTGACCTTGGATCTTGTTGGATTTCATTGCTGTGTCAATAATTAACCAAGCAATAAATTAATAAATAGATCAATAAATAGTTACTTGTGATTGCAACACTCTGATATACAGTACAGTATATTTCCAGGTTTACTTGTAAATACTTCCACTATTTACATCAGCACAATACTGTACACACACACACACACACTTGCACACACACACACACACACACACACACACGCACCCTTAATCCTACAGTGACGCATGTCCCAGTCAAAGATTTACAGGTCCTGTCACAACACTCAAACACACCGAAAACTCTTTAGGATTTCCACACAGACACACTGAGGTGCTCTCTGTTTGTCACACTTGTGCAGGGAAAGGAAAAAAATCTAATAAATTCATTTTTAAATAAGAATTACATTGCTTTTTTTTTTTTTTAAATAATCTGTGTATTTGTTTATATATATTACGCTGTACACATTGTGTTTGTATACATTTGATTTATGGGCAGCATCTTGAGTTCAGGGGAGGTTAGTTTAAGCTCAGGAATGAAAGGGTTTTTATTAAAGCATCGTTAGGCGGTTTTGCATGTTTATGCTTCTAAATATATACTCACCACTTCCCATTATCAATACACCACTTTTGATTGTTTCCTTTCTAGAAAGACACAGATGTAAGTTTACCATGTCAAATATTTAGATTGCTTCGTACATGTTAAGTACTGTCATTTCCTTCTGGCTAAATTCAACAGCACTTTGACAACCAAGCTTAGAAACATAAAAACTGCCACGTATACTATATATTTGAATTGTGAATGCCAACTTGCACGTGGTGAGCTCTGCACAGATAATCATCCTGTGTGTTCATCACTAGGGAGTGTAGATGTGCGTCCTGTCTCCTGCTCTTCTCAGGCAGCTTGCTTGTCCAAACCAGACAAAAGCATATGATTCAGTGAGAATGTGTCATACGTGGGCTCTTGTGCTCTGTGCTAATTCTCAGCCTAGTTCTGTATAAAAATGACTCGCGTCTCTGGAACTCTACTGGAGGGATGAACTCCTGTCTTTTAAAGATATTGCCTCATTTGGTGTTTTGATAATGGCGGTGGAGAACACCCTCAAACATGCTGGTCTAGATTTGCCACAGCAGATCACTGCAAAGGCCACATCACATGATTCACATCAGTTTTACCTTTCTGTGACCCCTTCTTATCTATGGAGAACAATGTCTTCCTCCAAGGCTCCACAACCATAAAGATAGACATTTCCATTACAAGCTAAGGTGATCACTCAGAACAACTTTGCATTGGTTTGGGGGGAAAGAGACACTTCAAAGTAAGGTTCAGATATTTTGCTCTAAAATTGATCCTAATGAGAATGCATACACTAAACTGTAGCACTAAACATGCAAAACTACCTTTTTGGTGATTCCAGAGATCCAAATTACATGTCAAGTTGTCAGAACAGGAATGGATTACTTTTGTTCACCATCTCATCTGACCCGCTGCCTGAGACGACTTCAGCGCCAGCCTGTGAGACAGAGCCTCTAAATTGACCGTCACCTGATGGGTGATTTCCTTGAAAGACACCTGAGTGAATCATTCCAGTTCCCATTAAGATGGAGCCTGGATATCCAAACTGCACCATTCCCACTCCTCCAACGGGGGAGTTCATGTTGTGTCCTAATTGTGGACTCTCATTGATATAAATGGGATGTATCATTTGTGTTTCTGGACCCATCTGAGATGCCTGAATCATACTGATGGAAGAATTAGACATTTCCAGAGTTTTCAATGATGCTGAAGGATTGTTAGCTCCAGAAGTGGGAGTTGGTGCACCATGGGGGGAAGCTATGGTCGAAATGAAAGGGTTGGAGTATGAGGGTGATGTTTCAGCAAAAGCTCCTGGTTTTAGCAAAGGGCTGGATGTCATGCCCGCTGTTTTGAAAGTGCCTGGGAAATCAAGGAGAGTGGCAGGAGGATGGAGGGTTGAGGGGGAAGGACGGAGGGGGGGAGTTAAACACAGTTTGAAGAATTCCAGTAAAGAGAAAATGTGCCAAGGCAGAGCAGAGAGAGGGGTGAGAAGGGTTATACATCTGCTGGTTAATGTACACTAGTCTTTATGCAGAGTAACTTCACTAATGCTCTCTCACACACACACACACTAATGTACAGAACAACATCTACACACTACAGCAAGGACACAGGGGCAGGAAGGGGAGGTAAAACACACGACCACAATAAGTTTCTCCATACAAACCTACTGATAAATATTAGCCATCACCCCTCTCATCTTATCTTTGAATGACTTCAGACGAACACAAGTGGAATGCATTTTTAAAATCAGCAGGGAGTGACTAATGCTCAGTAACTTTCATTTGTCAGGTCTTCGAGGGTGTTCATGCATCCGTTTGAGTCAAGCGCACCACAAATATTTCCACATGATGAATTCGTCAGAAAAGTTACTTTTCACCCAGACGGACGCGTCATTTTTTCTGTCCTTACCGACGGCTTGTGTTTGGGTGTCAATGAGAGGGCGCTGTCTGGGTTTAGGGTCACATGAAAACAGATCGTCCAAGTCAACCAGTGATGCCTCTGCTGAGCCCAAGAAGGAAGCAGTCATTCGATACGTCGCGTCTTCCTGCTTCGAGTGCTTTCCTGCAATAAAATAAAAGGTCCAGTTCTACTCTAAAAGGTGTTTTCTTTTGGGGACAGGTCAGGGAAGAAGAGAGAGCAAAGTGGAAGAGAAGGTTAATAGATTAAGACTGTTAGGTGACTGCTGACTGACGGGGAAATGAGGAGGAAAAAAAGGAAAATGGCGACACGTGCGAATCACCATGTATGGACACAATAATGAAGGTTTAACGAGTCCCCGCTTTCAGGATATTAATTAAAGACAAGCCAAACATTTAGTCAATTAAATCAGAGCAGAGTGTGTTATAGGTGATTATACACAGACAATCAGTGTTTGCTCATAGGAATAATGGATAAATGACACAAACATGTATTCAGACAGTGTGTAGAATGTGATGTACCTGTGCCGTTGCCACTTGTGTTGCTTGATGCACCCCAGGGGTCATTGGATTTAGATGCTCCATCTCCAAAGGGGTCACTAGATGGGGAGGAGTCTAAAGGTGGAGCAGGTTCACCCCATGCATCGTCTGTACTGGCAGGAGCCAAAGCTAGATGAGTAAATTAAACACGACAGGTTCAGGTGATGGAGAAATAAATGACAGAATTAACTCCTCTGGTTATTCCAGAGTTTTGGACCATGCTACTCAGCCTTCTTCAGCAAAGACATAAAGGTGCCACGTGTGATGTAAGTACAGAAATTTAGTCACAGGTATTTCTACAACTGATAAAAATCAGTTTCCAAAATCAGTCTTCATTCATGATATGCCTTTTTGTGAATGTGTGCACTTTAAAGTGCCATGTAAAACTCCACAGTGGAAATGAAAGGCATATACACCTACTTACAATGCATTCTCAGTGCAAGGAGTGGTGAGCACAGCAGCCCCACCCACCTTCTGTTGATAAGGGTCAGCCAATGAAAAAAAGTTGGCATCTTTTTTCAGATAAGTATAAGTATAACGGACTGTATAACGGACGGAAGTACAAGTATAACGTATAAGTATAACGAACTACGACTAATTCAAACCAGTTAGAAGTTAGCAAAATTCTTCAGCTTTAAGTTCTGAGAAGTACTATCCATGTACAAGTATTTGTTTGTTTCTTACCTGGAGGCCCCCACGGGTCATTGTCTGCTTTGGATGCATCTCCAAATGGATCAGAATTACTGATAGGTGAAGAAGCACTTGCCGTGGTCCCCCAGGGATCTGACCCGGTGGCTGGTGGAGAAGTGGCTGGGGCTCCCCATGCAGCTGTGCTACTTTGAGGCGAGCTCACTAGAGGGGCATCGAAGGGATCTGTGGCATCTATCTTTGGTGGACTGGATGGCGCTGTGAATGGGTCTTCTTTAGGTGGTGTTGTTGGTGCAGCAAAGGGATCTTCCTTGGTCGGTTTAGATGTTGTGGAGAAGGGATCCTCTTGAGGTGGAGATGTTGGGGCAGCAAAGGGGTCATCTTTTGCGTGTAAAGATGGTGTAGAGAACGGATCCTCTTTGGGTGGTGTTGTTGGTGCAGCAAAGGGATCTTGAGCAGGTTTGGTTGGCACTGAGAAAGGATCTTCTTTAGGTGGTGTTGTGGGAGCAGTGAAAGGGTCCTCTTTCCCTGATGACGGTTCTGCAAATGGGTCCTCTTTAGGGGGTGTTAATGCTTTTGCACTGAAGGGATCATCTTTTGGAGAGCTAAATGGATCGTCTTTAGGTGCATTAAATGGATCGTCTTTAGGTGCATTAAATGGATCGTCTTTAGGTGCATTGAATGGATCGTCTTTAGGTGCATTGAATGGATCGTCTTTAGGTGCATTGAATGGATCGTCTTTTGGGGTAACGAAAGGATCTTCTTTAGGGGCACTAAAGGGATCGTCTTTTGGAGTACTAAATGGGTCATCTTTTGGAGCTTTGAAAGGATCATCCTTTGGAGCATTAAACGGATCATTGTTAGAAGAGCTGAAAGGGTCTGGTTCATCTTTCTGAGCAGCAAATGGATCCTCCGTGTCTTTGGGGGCACTGAAAGGGTCTGAACTGTCCTTTGGGGTGTTGAAAGGGTCATCTTTTGATGCACTAAAGGGATCTTCCCCATTTTTCGGTGCCGCAAAAGGATCTTCCCCATTTTTCGGTGCCGCAAAAGGATCTTCCCCATTTTTCGGTGCCGCAAAGGGATCTTCCCCATTTTTCGGTGCCGCAAAGGGATCTTCCCCATTTTTCGGTGCCGCAAAGGGATCTTCCCCATTTTTCGGAGCTGCAAAGGGATCTTCCTCATTTTTCGGAGCTGCAAAGGGATCTTCCTCATTTTTCGGTGCCGCAAAGGGATCTTCCTCATTTTTCGGTGCCGCAAAGGGATCTTCCCCATTTTTCGGTGCCACAAAAGAATCATCATTAGTTTGTTCTGCTGCAAATGGATCTTTATCAGGACTTGTTGGAGACCCCCAGGGACCACTGCTAGCTGCTGTTTCAGTTGTGTCAGGTCTTGAGGGGGTACCCCATGGACCTACGGCCTCTTTAGGTTCTTTGGGGGCTCCCCATGGGTCCGTTTTTACTTCCTCTTCTTTCTCTCCTCCCCAAGCATCAGTTTTAACATCAGAACCTTTATTAGCATCCTCCCATTTTAGCTCCTCTTCACTCATCTTGGCCTAGCATATCGTTGCAAAATGGTTAATACAAATAATTCATATCCCATAATAATTTCATATACCAAAATGCTATATGCTATGGCTACCTCCATTTAATGGCACAATACAGACGATAGTTGTTCTTAATCAGCACATACAGTAATTAAATTTATAGCTAGGTTAGACTCTTGGCAGCTGACTATAGTTGCTGGATAGACTGCAGGTTCTTGGACTGAGGCAGCCCTAAAAACCAAAGGAGATCAAACTGCAACACATCATAGGAATCTGCAATGGGCTTCTCAATATATAACTTCTGCCTATTGAGATTTTTTTGTTTACTTTAATAAAACAGAAGGCCTTCAAATGTAAACACATTGGCTAAATGTTTGGAGAGTTTCCTCGTTAGCCTACCATTTATCGGCAATGGATTTTTATCTGAAATAGAGCCT